TTATAATTGCCTTAATATCATCAAATAATTTTTTCATTAATTAATTATAAATGTAACTAACTAAAATTCATTTTTATTCCCTGAAAGATGCAATTACATTAAAATGCTAAGTAAATCATAAATAACAAAACATCGTTGTAATATTCACATGCTAAATTACTGATACTGTTATTTAGTCTTTCAGTTCCAACTTTGTATTCATATTCTCTTCAACCCCAAGGCAATAACAATCCCCCAGTTACTTTTAACAACATGCTTTATTACATTAATAAAACCGACACTGCAACGCGACCCTATTAAACAACTTCCCCTTCTACTCCACTAAACTTCCTCAATACTGTATAATCATCCCCAAAACAAGCCCTCTTGCGCTGAAATGAGAATTTTTTGCCCCAAATTGCAACATTTCACTCAGCCTTAAGTATATTTAAATGTAAACCAGGCAAAACAAATAATAAGTTTATTACTTCTTAATAATTTCCATCCAGTGATATACTAATACCGACGAGTTCAAAAGAAGAAGAAACCGACGAATTATTTTATACGGTTCGGTCACTCGTTATGGTCCGCGAACCAGTCGTCTCTTCTATTCTCTTTAACAGCAAACCTCAAAACGTACTATACAGGGTTGTCCATAAAGTCTCTTTACAATTTCAAAAATTTATTACAAAGGCAAATGTAAAGACAGATAAGTGAAAATTATTATACAAAATGAGACGTGTATATTTAAGTTGTTTTCTGACTCGTTTAATATACCTCTATATGAGCATCATTAATTGCATGAAGCACATTAAGACGGTACTCAATTTCTTACACGATCGATGTTTTCCTCAGATATTCTTGGTCGTCCACTCCTCCCTTTATCGAACACTGTCCCTGTCTCCATAAATTTCTTGTGCCATGCACGAACTGACGTGACGGTGGATCTCTTCCGTACATAGTTCTGAAGTTTCGCTGAGTCTGCAGATCCGATTTGGTTTCAATAAACCACGATACAGACTGTGCCTTCTCCTGAGGAGTAGCCATTTTGTAAGGTTCATTTAACAATATCTTATTCATCAACAGGGTACCTGAACTGCAATGCTGATAGAAACTTTGATAACCACTGAGTCCACGGAACAAATCTGACGTAGATATCTCATCAATTGCCTTTGTAATAAATTTTTGAAATTGTAAAGAGACTTTATGCAGGCTAATCTAAAGCAGAGGATCACTGGTGCCATTGCCACCATTCATGAGGGTATGCTCACAGCAAACTCGATGTGCTTCGTGCCCATATAAAAGTGTATTAAATGTAGCAAAACGAAAAAAATACTTGAATATATACGTCTCATTTTGTAATAATTTCCACCTATCTGTCTCTACGTTTGCCTTTGTAATAAATTTTTGAAACTGCAAAGAGACTTTATGGACACCCCATGTACCAATTCTCCTTGTCAAATATCCCAGCCTCTCGTTCCTGACATCTCGTCGGGATCTTCTCGATCACGTGTACAAACACACGATATCCCTCCCGTTCGTGCAAATCACGGTGTTACTAATCGTCGGGTGCGCAATGGAAAATGCAGGAGGCCCACCGGGCAGCATCCACGAGGCGCGAAATATTGGCTCGTGATAAGATTCCTCGCGCGGCACGGCGAACGAACGTAAGCCGAGATTTCACGGTTGCGCACGCGCGGTTCGCGTAGGTGGGTGGAAGGGCACCCCTTTCTTTTTTGCACCCCTGCAGCTAGTCGCGAAATGTAGATGTCGCTGGTAGTGCCATCGAAATCCTAACCCTCGACCCACGTCCTTCCCCCCCCTGGTTCCCTCCAGCGACCCGGTGTCATCGTCTATTTTCATTCAGCCCCTTCACCCGCCCCTGCCACCTTCCTCACGCTTCGTCGTTCGACCGCCTCCGGCGCAGAAATTGAACCACGGCGGCTACGTGGTGCACGAGAACAGGGTCTTTGCTCCCGTTTAATATTTCAACCAGTCCATTGGCTGCCTTGAGCATCGACATGCGCGCCTTGCCTTCGAACTCGCGGCGTCGTCGGCGTTCTCGTTACGTCAAAGGCCGACGCTCGAAATCCCCAACGATGATAATCCACTTAGAGGTGGAGGGCGGAGAGAGGAAGAGTATGACGGACGAGGCCCGGAGAATCTCGAGGTCGGGAAAAAGAAGAGGGGCAGCCGGCGATAACCAAGATGTATCGATACACACGACAAACAATACCGACAAAATCGATCGGCCCGCGCACACCTATGTCGCCGGTCACCTCGTGCACGCGTATCGTGGCTTTTACACGGCCAGGATGAACCGACGGGCGCCTCGTCGCTTTGCCTAGAAAATATACACACATGCGTGCATACGTATATTTTCGTTCACGGATCGAACATATAGAAGCGGGCTATCCGGGGCCAACGATAATATGCATCTGCGCGTACACACAATGTGCGAACGCATTCTGATCCAAACGGCGAAGTTCTCTTGTTCCTCTCTTTGTTCCTCGTCCCTCGTCTTTCTTTATCCTTTCTTCCATTTGTTGCTCCTTTTTCTTCTCTTCTTCTCTTCCCTTCTCTCTTTCTTATTGTTCGTTCGGAAAGGCACGTTCTTTCTTTCCTTACTTGGTCCTCTTCCTACGAGCATTGTTCCCTTTTTTCTTTTTTTTTTTTTTTTTTTGTTCAAGTTCGTTTGTTTTCGTTTCTACACACCCTCTCTCTCTCTCTCTCTCACTCTCTTTTTCTTTCTCCGGCGGAGCAAAAATACGAAGCGATATCGGCTAAGAAGATTATTCCGCTCGGCCGGGGATAAGTCCGTACTGAGAGAAATTTTGTACATCTCCTGAGTTGAGACTGCGTACGAAACTCGCCTGGGATTATTATGTTAATCCCTATAAATTTCCCTCGGCCGCCACGCAGAACGAAAACCTTTCTCCCTTTCGTTCGGTTAAAGATCTCTCCCTTGTCTTTCCGCGACACGAGTCACCTTTCATCATCGAGTGTGTTTGCCGTCATCGAAGCGCGGCTTTCGCCAACGGATCGTTGTCACCGCGTTTTTATCCACTTCGTAGATGACGTTGGGTAAAGACTCCTTGTCTGATAAAATGTTTCTTTTACTTCAATCGATACGTGGTATAATCTTGCGGCGTCAACTTACAGGTGACCAAGTTCATAGTGAACGGAACTGTGGCACATGTATGTATACGAGTTTTGCGCTTTATTTGATAGTATCATAATTAAGAATAAATAAATTATAAAAAATTTTGTTTTTAAATAATTATTTTTAATATTAACTTGATAGAGAGAATTTAATAGTAAATTAATTAAATTATTTTAATTGAATTAAGTATTAATTGGTGTACAAATTCCCCGTCAATTTCTAATAGGAATAAGTCGTAAACATAGTAAAAGTACTGGAAAGTGTTCTTAGATAAAAGAATTTTAGTTTATAAAAAATTACATACAATCGACGTCAAGCATTGTAATTGCGTGACAGTTACGTAATACGAAAGATTATCATGGGAACGAGAATGTTTGCGATAGATGAGAAATATTGAAACTTAGTGTATAAAGGAAAAACACATGAATGATGCAAGGTTTTGAATGAGTATGTGAATATCTTTGTGGTTTTTACCTGAACTTTGCATGTGAATGAGATTCTTGAATTATCTTAAATATAAAATGGAGAAATGTAAAATGAACGAGTTGAAGTGGATGTTAAATGATAATCGAGTCGTCCCTTTTATACTATCTGTCTCATACCTTCAACTTTTGCATTCCTGAAAATATAAAACAACGATATAATTCCTACGTTATTAAGAAATACAAATAGCATAAGTTGTAAAGTACCAAAAATGTATTACGTTGAAAGATATTATGAAAAAAGTCGAGAAAGAATATTTCCCAAGATACTTTAATCACTTTAAACTTCAAACAGCTATGTAAAAGAAAGAATAGCAACGAAAAAATTTGAAATAAATCTTGTGATTGCAGTAATAATTGTAATAACTATAATTGATTCAATAAAAATCTCATATGAAATGTTGCGACGCAATGTCACCTTAATAAGATAATTAAATTAACTGTAGTATTTGTATTAAATGGAACACTGATAATGATTATTAATAAATAAATATTATATATAATATTTTATGTATAATATAATATAAACATCATTACATTATTATATTATATTATAGTTATTTTATTATATATATAAATTTCTTTGTATATAATTTATTATATATATAAATATAGCGAAATTATATTTATATTTATAGTTATATTTTATTAATTGTCTTAATATTCCTTCACTTTATTCTTCATGTTTGAATTTCAATACTAGTAAATATTAGTATTTAGTAAATATTAGCGTTAATTCAAAAAATATTCTGAATTTCAGAATTACTATCATTAAATTTATTGCACTACTTCATAGGAAAAAATTCAGAACTTTTCTTTTTTTCTACGTCTTATAGTTCCTCTCGCTATGCCGTCGATAACACTGACATTACGTCAATCATACGGTATTCCTATAAATCATACATAACAATATTTGGACTACTTCCACCAATGACAGTGCAAACTTTTACTACATTTTTACTTTCCCCATGTTTCTTCTTCCTCGCGAACGCAATATCATTAATATGTAATTCAATATAGATGCTTTCGTTCAAGCTTCATCATCATTTACACATAAATTGAATGCGTATTTTTATAATTGTCAAAAAGATTTAAATATAATTGCACGTTTTGTAATCATTATTTGATTACAATCTTAATAATATCTTTGTAAGACAATCTTAATGATGCTTATAAAATAAAATAATATCCTCATAAAATCCTAAAAGAAAGAAACCAATATTTATGTTTATGCTTCATTTCGCATCGAGCCATTTTAAATTATAGTAAGATGAAGAAATATTCCTTGAGACTCATTTCCTATAAGACCGAATCAATTCATTTTTTAATATCAACTCAAAATATAACTCACAATTAGTGTCTCTTCGTAACCACCAATGCATGTACGTGCAAGTAATTAAAATATTTACTCAATCCCCTCGGTATTCTTACTACATATGTACAGCAGAAAAGAACATTCTCCTCGGTAACGATGTTAAATCTCTGCCGCCATAAATTCAAATCACGGTTATTATAAATTATTCGCCGTATCCCCCGAACGGAATATCCCACATCTCGGTTAAATAACACAATGGGGACGTGTCGCGAAATCTATAAAAGCCGCGGCTTAATTAACCCTTAATTGCCAGTCCTACCGAGCGTTTCATTAATTTATTTAATTTGTATACATATAATTCATACTACTCGGATGCCAGGGGCAAATAAAACGCACTCGGCCCTCGAAAATTAACAACGAACCGGTAGTTTTTCCAGCCGGTGGTTTCTTTTTTCTTTTTTTTTTTTTTTTTTTTTTTCTCAGTATCACTGAATAGAACAATGTTCTATCGAGGAACGACAATTACATTTAAAATTATTTCTTAGGTCATACTGAAAGGGATAGCAAAGAAACCATTTTCATTGGCTGTGTTTGAAAATAAGTTGTATTGGAGCGATTGGATATCCAATACCATACAATCGTGTGATAAATTCACTGGCAAAAATTGGAAAATCCTAGTGGATACGAACAGTACCATTTATGGCATACATATATATCACTCTGTTTTGAAACCCAAGGTAACACCACTCGTTCAATTATTTCTTCCTTGTCGTTCTACGCCTAAATAAAAGATACAATACTCGACGATAGATGCCGAATCCATGCAATTCAAATCCCTGTTCCCAACTGTGTCTATTAAATTCAAAGAATGGATATACTTGTGCTTGTACATTGGACAAGGAATTAAACCGTGACAATCATACGTGTCGTGGTAAGTTATATATTGTTGTTATAAATTTTGACGTATTGACTATGAAAATGCTATACATTTATCTGTTAATGTACGAATTAAATAAATTTCAGCGGTTAAAAAGAAAGTGCATTTAGTTATTGCAACGGGAAACACACTCATAGATTATTATCACGAATTGTTGGGAAAACCGAAAATGACAACTAACGTTATGCTAAATCACATCACTGGGATTGCTTATAATCCTCTTACTGGTACGGTTTTAATCACTAATCATTGCATAAACGTTCTATTATATTTATTTCAACAGACGAATTATAATACTTGACACTGTTAACAAATATTCGAGACTCTGAATACGATCAGAATCTTTCAAAATCGAACAGCAATATTCAACGTGATTTGTATCTGCATAAGTATCTAACGATACCATAATTTTCTTTTTTTTTTTTTTTTTTTTTAATATCTTGATTATTAAAAGATCGAACGAAAATCAACACAGGTGGTTTACTGGCCAGCGATCAACTGAGGGACAACATTTTCCATTTTAACACACACACTGATGATCTGAAAAGCTTGATATCCATCGAGAATAAAATATTGGGTGGAATGGATTTCGACTATCTTGGAAACAATCTGTATTTGTCGGATGTGAAGCACAAAACTATCGAAGTTCATAATTTGGACAACAATGAAAAAACGATCTTCTACTTCCAGGACGAACCTTATGATATTGCGCTTGTGCCGGAAGAAGGGTAATTATCTTTATATATTTTCACAGGGAACGAGTAAATTCTAAAATAATTTATACGTGCTTTTATTTGAATTCTTGTTGTGTGATCATGTTTTAGTATCATGATGGTCGTATTTAACGCGGATAAATCGTACCGCATAGATCTGATGAATATGAACGGACTTGGTCCAAGAATCACGATCGAAGGGAACAAAATACCGTTAATTGGACCGAAAGTATCTTTGTGCTACGACAGAGATCTGAAACAATTGTTTTGGAGTGATCAAGGCACTGGTCGTATTGGTATTACGACCATTCCAGGTCTGTATTTTTGTCACAAGTGCATAGAAAAGCAGAACTTTTTTACAAATTTTCAAATGAAAGACAACAATTTTTTCCACACTTTACAATTATAAAATCGTAATCCTATCGTAGTCTGATAATTTTTAAGAATAAATTAAGAAATTTAATTAAGAAACTTAACTATTAATATCACATAGAGCATTATAATATCATATCATACTTCTTGCACTATGTTATGTCTGCAGTTTCTTTGTGTACGTACAGCTTCGTTATAATATTTAAAATATGGAAGCCATTTTTATTTGGATTCTCGGCTTTCAATGATATGCATAAAAGTTTAAACTTAAACATATTGCTGTTATCAATTTATAGCAATATTAAATATTAAATGAAATTTATCTTATAGTATATAATTACAAATTTAATGTTATTATACAAATCAAAGACTTCTTCTTTTCTAAAATGTGCTGTTTTTTTGCATCTGAGTATTATTAACAATTGTGACTATATTTTCCAGGTCTCGAAACATACATCTTCCGTACTGGTTTATCAGAACCTGTGAGTCTCGCCGTTCTTGGTAATTATGTATTTTGGACGCAATATAGGTCAGATCAATTGTACTGGACTAAAAAGAGCAACACACAGCAATATCAGAAACATATTACATTAAGTAAGTAATATAAAAACGAGTTATAACATTTTTTTTAATGATCAATTGACTTGATTCACAAATTTGAATGATCAACCATATTTATTATGGTTATATAATATGGTATTATTAATCATATTATAATCAAATATTTTTTCTAAGTAGCTGATAAATGGATTTAATCTTAATTTGACTTTCATGTTTCCTTATTCTCAGCATTTCATATAATTCATATAAAAAAATAATGAGAAATAAAATACAGAAATAATAACTTATACAGGATGGATTATATTATATACCATAATCATCTTTTTAAAGATATAAAAAGAGTTTGTTATTTACTACAAACATTACTATGACAATAATGATTTTTTTGTAGATAAAGGAATTTCGAAAATTTCGACATTACTTTTACTTTTTTAAATGGAATAATATATTTTTGTATTATTATTATTATTATTATTATTATGTATTATTTAAAGTATTAATTTAGGAGATATTTTAATTTTAATTCTGTAAAATCTATTGTGTGAGAAACGAAGAAACACGGGAGAGTTCTTTAAGGGGCTTTATAAGAGGTTTTATAAAATTAAAATTCGACGTACATAAGTTAATGCTTTTTTATAGATAATATCGAGTTGCATGGACCAAAAAATATATGATACTATTTAGAAAAGTAGAGGCAACCTGGAAATTTTCGAAATCCTTTCACTTACAAAAAAATCGAACTTTGTGTCATATTATGGCCCCACTTGTTTTGAATAACTTTCGTTAATAAAGCTTTTTATATTTCCAAAAACAACAAAGATATTTAAGGTAATCATAGTTACTGGTCCAACTGATTAGATTTATAGTTTAGGTTAAATAATAAATGAAGATTATATCAGTATAAAAACTATTAGAATAACAAGTGAAGATTATTAAAACTATTAATAGAATAATAATAAAACTATTAGTAGAATAATAATAAATGAAGGTTATATTAGTATAAAAACTATTAGTAGAATAATAATAAATAAAGATCATATTAGTATAAAAACACCTTTATCTTTCAGAAATACCTAATAACTTGGACAGAATACAATTAGTGGGTATACACGAAACCTATGTAAAAGAGCACCAGTGTCGTATAAACAATGGGAACTGCTCTCATGTGTGTCTGTTATCCAATTCTCATTCATACGTAAGTTTACAATATTTTACAATTTTTGTAAGATCTGGTGATCTTTATACTTCAAATATTTCATTCAAATTTTCAGCTTTGCGCGTGTCCCCCCGACATGATGCTAAACGTGGATAATCGAACGTGTAGTCCTCAAACTGCGTGCAATGCTGGCGAGATAAAATGCAGTGAACATGATGTGTGCATAAAGTTTGATCAAAGGTAAGATGCTATTAGATAGATAGATAGGTCTTTATTGTTTACCCTTAGGATTACAATTTCTGCTCCTTCTCCATCTCCATACAGTCTTCTTAGAAATAAATACAATAATCATTCACTAGCATCATATAATCTCCACTCACATATCATTCCCTAATATTGAATATAATAATAACATAATATAATATAATAATATATAATATAATATAATATAATATAATATAATATAATATAATGTAATATAATGTAATATAATATAATATAATATAATATAATATAATATAATATAATATAATATAATATAATAATAATATAATATACTATAATAATAATATAATAGTATAACAACCACTACTTAATTACACTATAAGCATTACCATAGCTAACATCCTACTATATATTCCATTAGGCCCGCTCTTATATCTAATTATATCCCTTTCCTTCTCCCCATCCTATCTTTGGCTTCATTTTTTGTATTATTATCACTTTGTCCTTTTCCGTGCCCTATTCGCCCCTCGCCATTTTCTTCCTACCCTACTTTGTTTTCCTCCTCCGATCTGCCCTCACATCCTTTGATTCATGCTTCCTCTCTCTCCTTCCAATCATCCCGCTATATCCCGTTCCTCCATTCCTGCAGCTCCTTATTCCTGCCCCCTATTTCTTTTTCCATCCAGCCTTTTCAATCATCTTTCTCCTTGTCCTTCATCCCTCAGAATTCTTTCAACATTTACTTGCCATCCTCCTCCTCCCCACTCCTTCCATATACCTTCCACACATGCTCCCACGTCTCTTCCTCCTCCTGGCACAGCCTACATTTCCTTTCCTCTTCCATTGTCCAGTACCTTTCTTCCTTGATTTCATTCCCCAGTTTATACCTGGCGAGCCTTCTCATCCTATTCGTATTCCATTTTTCTTTCATGTAACTTGGCATTCCCTCTTCTTTTATGCCTTTGTATCATTTATTATACTTTGATTTTATGATCTTCTGCCATCTTTCACTTTTCTGTATCTCTTTATCCTTCCTCTCGATTTCCTCATACTCTAATTTCTTTCCTCCATTCATCTTTTCCTTTTCTTCTGCTGCCAATCCCCTCAACCTGTAAAACTCTTTTCCCTTGTTCCTTTCCCTGTCTCTCTCACTGTCCTTCCAACACCCCCTAGCTAGCTCCCCTCCCTTTTCTTCTCTCAGCTTCTTCTCATAATTCCAGGCTAACTTCCCTGCTTTTGTTCTTAATAGATCTCTCTGCCACTCTTCCCTCATCATGTATCCTGGCGTTCGCCATTCCACTCCATAAGATGCTATTATGTTTTGTGATTTCGTAAAATCGCAAAATTCGACAACTTACAAGTGTATTTTGTAACTCTTTGTAACTCTCTCTGTCTATTAATCATGCATTAATCATTAATTGGCTTAATTTCTGAAACGTGTCCATTTTTCCTTCGTAGTAATTGCTATTTTGTTCTATATATAAGATAAATATCTATTCTATATCTATTCTATTATATAAGATAAATATCTATTCTATATCTATTCTATATTTCTGAAACATGTCCATTTTTCCTTCGTGGTAATTACTATTTTGTTCCATATATAAGATTAATATCCAAAGATGTTTCTCTTTGCAACATACAACATTCGACAAATAAATCATATTATTTGTACAATGTCGATTTCTAATTATAAAGTCACTTAAAGTTTATAATATAACATTATTCATTAAATTGTAATTGTAATTGTAGCGTTTTGTGTACTTATTAAACAATATCTAGCGAATAAAATTTACCAATTCATCTTATTTCAAGAATGTACCTGCAAATTAAAGAAAAAAAAAGTTATCTGTTTCCGTAAAGATAATAATATATTGAACATTCGTGTATATTATTAAAACAAGATATTTTGCAATTGCAGATGCAATGGAGTACAAGACTGCCCTAACGGAGAAGACGAATCAAGCATTTGCGATGAATACCACTGGTCCAAATGCAAGCATCAGGATCAGTTTGAATGTAAAAACGGCGAATGCATAAACAAGACGAAACGTTGTAATTCCTACTACGATTGTGCCGATTGGTCGGACGAGGAGGGCTGCGATAAAAAGGAATGCGATTCCAGTAAATCAAACCACTTATTAAATCTTATTTACAATGTGCTTATCGTCTACAATAACAATACTGTCTGAACATTTAGAGCACAAGTTATAAGCGATAAATTATATACTGTGTATATAAAGCGACAATGTAGACCAATTTGAGAGATCAGCGAATGAAATTATTAAATAGCTCGCATATTTATTTGAATCAATAAATTAACATTTTTTAAAACCATCGTGTTGTTTGCTTGCGTAATCGTAATAACGCGAATAGAGTAATCGTAGTTTAAGTTATATTGTTCGATGAAACAGGCTTGATTGAACGAAGCTTTAGCAGATGACGTCTATTTTTAGTTAATTTCAATCTTAAATCAATAAAACGACCAATGAATTTATCGATTTAAATAAGAAACGAAGGAGAAGTTTTATTGTTTCTCTCTCTCTCTTTCTCTCTCTCTCTCTTTCTCTTCTCTTACTTCTCTTCGAACTTCGATTTTCGCTGAGAAATAGGAACATAGAAACGTCGCCGTTTTTGATCGACATAGGTACCTCATTAAGACTACATTTATTAAGGTCTCCATTTGATTCTCTTACGGCCAATTTATTCGATACGATAAGAAATGATAGAACTCGTGTAACCGAATCGAATAGTGCTATTGTTATGAAACATCAACATCGAAAAAACGATGTTTGATATCGCGTGTAGGCTGAATAAAAGACCTCTGTAGGTGTTCAAGCAGCCAACAATCATTCACGATGACTCTAATATCTTCCAGATGAGTTTCAATGTCACGAGGGGGCTTGCATATCGAAATACCTTGTATGCGACGGACAAAACGATTGTACTGATTTTTCGGACGAACTTAATTGCGACAAGCACGAATGCGAGACTGACAGCTTCACGTGCGAAATCGGGACTTGTATACCCAAAACGTGGGAATGCGACGGAGAGGTGAGTTTACAATTTTCATTTAGGATTGTTTGCTTATTTATAAATTAACTTCAACACCTTTTGCTTCTTCGTTCTATTTCTTTTGTTCGTTTGTTTCCTTGAGACAGTAGATCAATTAGAAAAAAGATGTAAAAGTAAAGAACAGTAGCTTTTTTGTTGAATTAATACGTAGCTTTTTTGTTGAATAAATACAAAAATTGTGTTTAATAATTTTCAAAGGAAATTAGAATGTACTGATGAAACATAAGTGTCATTAACTAGGCAAAAAGATTGTCATTGAAATACGAATTATTTATTAAATTATATACTATGATTTAGCATACGTTCAGCTGAAAAATACGGCTTTTAAATTATAAATTATTTTAAATTTTAAATTTTTTAAATTATACATTATAATTTAAATTATATTTGGGAAAAGTGTAAATTATATTATAATTTAAATAAATTATAATATAACTTAAATAAATTATAATTATATTATAATTTAAATTATATTTGGGAGAAGTGTAAATTACATATTATAATTTAAATAAATTATAATATAACTTAAATAAATTATAATTATATTATAATTTAAATTATATTTGGGAAAAGTGTAAATTACATATTATAATTTAAATTATATTTGGGAGAAGTGTAAATTACATATTATAATTTAAATAAATTATAATATAACTTAAATAAATTATAATTATATTATAATTTAAATTATATTTGGGAAAAGTGTAAATTACATATTATAATTTAAATTATATTTTGGAGAAGTGTAAATTATATATTATAATTTAAATTATATTTGGGAAAAGTGTAAATTATATATTATAATTTAAATTATATTTGGGAAAAGTGTAAATTATATATTATAATTTAAAATATATTTGGGAAAAGTGTAAATTACATATTATAATTTAAAATATATTTGGGAAAAGTGTAAATTATATATTATAATTTAAATTATATTTGGGGAAAGTATCTTACTATATTAATTATGTTTTTTTTAAATGTAATCTTATCTCTTATTTGAAACGGGAAAAGAACAGTTCAGTTATAATATTAATATTGGCAAACAATGCGAATTAAAAAACAAACTCAATCTGTTCCGTTAAAAAATATAAGTGTGTAATTAACTTTGTGTATGGATAAAGGCTGACTGTGCAGATCGTTCTGACGAACACGAGATGTGCCAAAGAAGCGCATGTCCATCCGAAATGTTTACTTGTTTAAGCGGTCGTTGCATCGATTTAACATTGAAGTGCAATGGAATCAGCGAGTGTGAAGATAACAGCGATGAACAATATTGCAATTACGTGGGTAATAATAATTACGTCAATTGTTCTGCAGATCAGTATAAATGTTTCAACACGGAATTATGCCTTCCCAATGAAGTCAGGTCAGTCAATTTATAACTACAATATATTTATTAGTGTACATTTAATCGTGTTTACTGTTCTCTGTTCTTTTACATTTATTTAAATATTTGCACTTGATGAGAAAAGTAAACGTTATATGCAAATATTTTAAAATTTCGAAATAAGAAAGGAGAAAGCAGCATTAATTTCAAATTTTACTAAATGTAATTCTTGCTATTTGTACGTCGTAAGCTTCTATTTACTATATTTCTTAATCAATTAATTTCCTCATACTTTTAACATCACAGTCATTATATGGATTTCGATTTCGACTAGATACTATTGACAAGAAGCAAGGAATATGTATATAATATTATGTAGATTTTTAAAAACATCATACTGTTTATTATAAGGGTAGTTATTACTCCAAAACACATATTATTTTTGGAGATACGAAAAAAATTTCATTAACGAAAGTTAAAAAGATTTATCACTTTTTAAACAGTAATCATATATTTTTTGCTTGCAATATTGCCTGATATTCCTTATAAAAGAAAAAATTAGGTATTTTAATTTTATAAAATCTATTGCATGAAGGATGAAAACAATGTAAATACAAAAATATACTATCTTTGTCTTAGCCCAACTTTTATATCATGGATTTTACAAAGTTAACTCTCATCTGTTCTTTAACATATAACATATATTTTCGATATTTTTGTTAATAAAATACGGTATCATTATTTTCCAATTATTATCATTATACCACAATTATGCATTCAATGAATCACATTTTTGAAAATTATAATTTTGGAACATAATTGTGACAAGTCCAAAATAAATGATCATAAGGTAGACAAAACAATTTCATCATATGAAATTGATTTATACTTAACTTACACGTGGGAGAGTGAGTAAGATTGATGTGAACCTTGGCAATAAAGTATAGAAATTTAATCTATTTATCATGAATAAAAAAATTTGTAAATTTAATTATTTATTTTTTGATCGTATATATTTTACCATTATGTCAATTTGATATCAAGGAACAAATTAAATTGGAAAAATGAAAGATGGATAATAAGTTAAAGTTAAAAAGTAATAGCTTCCCAACATACATGATTGATATTTTTTTATAAAAAAAAATGCGAAGCAACTTTGACTAACGAATCAGAAAATATATGATTTTACTCAAAAATGTAGAGGTGACTTTGAAATCTTTGAAAATCCTTCATCTATAAAAAATTATTATTGCCATATTATGGCCGCTTACTGAATAAATTTTATTAATAAAGCTTTTTCATATCTTTGAATATGACGATATTTGAAACAGTAATAGTTACTGATCCATAGTTCTTATTTAATTTTAATTACATTTTTTCCCACTTTTAACAGACGTGTTTTCACGAAGCAGATAAAGAAAACTTTATTCGTTTATTTATTAACGTGTTTTCGTAGGTGTAACGGCATTTCAGACTGTCCAAAAAACGACGACGAACGTAATTGTGCTCGATGCGAAAAGGAAGAGTATGTTTGTGACAATCAGAAATGCATTGATAAAAACTGGGTATGCGACCGGATAAATGATTGTGGGGATGGATCGGATGAAAAAGATTGTGACGGTGGTAATTCGAGAATGAATAGCGTCAGCCCGATATCTAAATGTAAAGAATTCAAATGTTCCAACGGCGTTTGCCTCCCTTTTATCAAAGTGTGCGATGGAAAAGTGGATTGTTCGGATCAAAGTGATGAATACGGAGAATGTAGTATGTACAATGAGAATAAAACAAATAAAAACATTATTTTAAGTCATAATAAAATCATAAATTATTAATAAAATTATTATTAAAGTTCAATTTTAGATTATATTCAGTTGACAAGTCGAATATGCGAAGCAATTGTTTTTTCAAATTTTTTTTTCTTTTGGAAATTTTTCTAATTTTATAATTATAAATTAATGTTTCTAATAATATTAGTATTAGTTAATATTTCTAATACTATTAATATTAATTAATATTTCTAATAATATTAATATTAATTAATAATAATATTAATATTAATTAATAATAATATTAATATTAATTGTTATTTTGTTCTAATTTTGTTCTTGTCTAAGTTCTAATTTTAAAAGTATAACAAGTTTGCGCGTTTCTTCGCATTACTTTTCTTCAATACTTTTTTCGATTCAATAAATTCTTTTCTCAAAATTAAAACTTTCCTCAATGAATGAAGTTAAAAAAATTCAAAAACAAGAGTGTTAAGATAAATTTTACTATTTGTATCCATATTTAAAACCTACTTTGCAGAAATTGCGTGTACCAAGGCCAATCCCTGCACGAATATGTGCCACAAAACACCCACTGGTCCTGTCTGTGATTGTAGAGATGGATATCAATTAAGTAACAATTTAAAATCTTGTGAAGATGTCAACGAGTGCGAAGACAATGTTTGTTCACAATTGTGTCATAATACTAATGGATCTTATACTTGCTCGTGTTACGAGGGCTACGTCATTCGAAGTGATAAAACTTCGTGCAAAGTGGCTGGTAAGGAAAGACTTAATTTTCTAAGTTTTATTTTATTTTTGAATAACTATTTAATTACAAAGAAGCGATAGATGATATATCCAGAAACATATGATAGATCAATATGTATTTATTCTAATACATTATTTTCCTTTAACTAGGTCCACAAATGGAGATAATCACAGTTTCTGGTAATGGCATCAGAAAGTTATCACCAAATTTGAATTCAATTGAAGTTATTTATGAAGAAATGAATTTTGAAATAAATGGTATTGACGTGAACACGAAGGAAAATACTATCTATTGGAGTAATGGTACTAATACTTGATTTTTAAACACCAATATGTTTATTATTCACATTGTTTCTTTTAAAATATTCTATGTGTAGTTTTTCGCATATCTTCTCTTCTAGGTTAATATTTCTTTAAAAGGTGGTTACACAAATTTTTCTATATGGTACAAAATTACTAAAAAATAATTGGATGTTAAAAATGGTGAAAGAATTTATATTTCCTATTAATAAATAATAGAATAGACTTTTTCGCATTATATTAAAACATGATTATCAAATCAATATCTTCAATATTTTAAAACAATAATTGAATATATATAATATAGATATAAAAAATATTTTATTTATTAAATTTTATTAAAAATTTATTAAATTTTATATAGAAATAAAAAACAATTTGATGACTATGCTAGATCTCAATATTATTAAATAAATGCTTGGTAACTGATCGTATTTTTATAAAAGATATTATTTTAATAATAAAAACAGTTTTAGATTAGCTGAATTTACAAGATCAGACTTTTCTATCACATATAAAACTCTAAACACTTTACAGTATTTACACCATTTTCAATAATTTAGCACACAGATCTTTTTATAACTCACAAATAACTAATAAATAAAATCATGCACACGTATTTTCCATGACATAAATTTAATAATCAGATGTTGGTTCTTTTATTTTATTTCTATGTATTATTGCTTTATTCATATTTTATTAAATTCTCAATGTGATCTTATTTCTTTATCTTATTAAATTTAAATCTTTTCTTTATCTTTCTTTACATAGATACAGATATTTCTTTATTTTATTAATAGATATTCTTTTTCTTATTATCTTATTTCTTTCTGTTATAGATATTCTTTGTCTTATTACTAGATTTTTTTTATAGATGTTCTAGGTATGATAAGTAAAATAAATATGAAAACCAAAGAACGAAAGACTGTTACCGGTCTTGGCAAACCGGAAGCTTTAGCTGTTGATTGGATTACTGATAATGTATACTTTAATGATAATGATCGTTCCAGTAGTATTCAGGTAGTGAATATTCACTGTTCGCGTTCATTCAATATCTCTATGCAATTATGAAAATTTTTTAAATTATAATTTACAGGTTTGCAATCTAGAGCAACAGAAGTGTGCTAAAGTAGTATCAATTCCACAAAAATACCGAGCAATCTCTATTGCTGTCGAACCGAAGAAGGGGTATGTTTCAGTTATAGAATATATATAGTCGCATGTAACTGTTGCCACGATTAGTTAGGCACTTCCAATAGTATGACAGGATAACATTATCGTAAAATATCAATTACTGAAGCAAAGAATCAATAATGTTAAAATGAATTTAATTTAATCAATAATAAAATTCAAATTTTTCAAATTTTATTATTATAGAATTTGATTATAAATTAAAAATAATATATTTTGATATATTGTGTATAAAACAAATTTTGAAAAATTATACAAGCATAAATGATTAATTATCTGCAGAGAATCGAAAAACTTTAAAAATATGTTTATAAGCCATTTACCTTTAGAGAGATTTTGAGGTGATTTGAAATACGAATTTCAAAATTCTTAGAATTTTTCAATACATGACCTATAAAATGTTAATATTCATAATCATAAGAAATATTATCTTATAACATTTTTTTATATATCGAATTTTTAATCTAGGTGGTTATTTTGGAGCCAAACTATTTGGTCACATTACGATAGACCTATGACGGAAATATATCGATCTAGTACAATAGGTACTAACGCAACAGCAATTGTACATCATGATCTGGGTATTGTTTTTGCATTAACTATTGATTATACACGATCCAGAGTGTATTGGTCAGATACGTTTCATAAAACCATCGAATCTTCGAATTTGGACGGTTCTAATCGCGTTGTAGTTGTAAATACATTTGTAAGTTATAGATTAATTCACGATTAATTCAGATTGATTAATTTATGTAAGAAAAATATTGTTCCAAATATCTTTGCATTATTGTTTCCAATATGACAGATTTATCAAGCTTTGAGTATTAGCATATACGAGGATTCTTTATATTGGTTGATGGGTACAATTGGTGCAATTCGAAAATGCAAATTATACGGTGACAAATCATGTACAACAATTATTATTGGTATTTCAAACATCGATAAACACTTTATTATTTCTCACACAATTAAGCAACCTGTTGGTGAGTAAATTAATTAATTTAAAAAATAATTAATTTAAAAAATAATTAATTAATTAACAAAATTTTACCTTTTAACGAAAAGTAAATTTTTAATTCATATCTTCGTATTAGGGAAAAATTTTTGTGAGAAACATGACTGCAGTTATATGTGTGTTTCGGGAAACAATAGATCCGCATGTATTTGTCACGATGGGTATCCAAAAGATTCCAAAAACATTTGCACAGAAAACACAAATACAAAAATTCAATTCAATTCCAATATAGCCAGCCATAGTATTCGTCAACAACGAGGAACGTTAGCCGGTATAATAATCACAGTATTAGCATGTTTCATAGTTGCATCAGCCTATTTTTATTACCAGAAAATCAAACCGAACTTTTCAAAGAAGAATAATCTCAGGTAAATTTATCGATAATTCATTTTTAGTTAGAAATATTAAGTTTTCTATTTTACTTGCAGTATTCATTTTCAAAATCCATCGTTCGATCACCGAAATGAGATTAATTGTATTTCTGGTTTGCCACCTGGAGAACACGAATATGTTAATCCAGTTATGAATATCCAACAGGTAAAACACTAGGGTCATATCCAGTTATAAAATCTTAATTTGTTTTTTTTTTTTTTTATTTAGAACAAGAATGAAAATATAACAGAGAAAAATGAGAAACAAATAATGAAAATGTTCAATTTTGATCAATCAGATGACGAATCTAAAGAATCTATGAATAAACAAGATATTCGCTTAATATAATAAAATATATACCACCTTAATTATTAAATGAAAATAAAACTCAAATTTAACTGTGTACATAATTATTTAGTTTATAAATATTTAATGGTATTTATTTCAATTTAACTGTAAAATTTTCATGTACGTATTTTTTTACATACAATTAATAAAAACAGAATTATCAACAATATTTATACACTTTTATACTGCATTTTTTCCCTTCTTTTTAAGATTAAATTATAAAAATTATCATTCAACATTCTTTATTAACATTAGTTTAGATAAAAATATAATTTTATAATTTAAAATTTTAATACCCTTGAACTATACTCGATAATTCTATATACATATTTAACTATATATATATCTTCTATATTAACTAATTAAATAAGGACTATCAATAGCACCGATTCCAGCTGCTATTCCACCTTCATTTTCATTTGATGGTTTTGTTCTCAAAATATGACCTACTTCTTCATTATATATAATATTATCATGATTTCTGTAAAATACAAACTCATAGTCATTCAATATAATTGTCTAAATAATTATTAGAAAAATCTATTTTAATACATACCCTATAACGACACCATATATACCAAGTTCTGATACAACATTAGAAAAATGTAAATGATTTTCTTCAAATGGCTCATTACGAGCACATACAATATAATTCTTTTGCACGGGAGGATAAAAACGATCCATTAATATCCAAGCTGTTCTTTCCTCTGAATTTCTCATAGATTCTAAACGTAACTTTATGTCTTTATCATACACATTGTTTCCACCTCCTTCTCTTTGTGGTTTCAATACATATTTTTTTGGATGTAATATAGCATTATCAATTACACTTTCTGTTTCATTATTCTATTTACAATGAAAGCCATAAGAATAATTTCAATACAAAAATAGTTTCAAAATATAACAGTAAAATGATTATATATATAATTATAAATCATGTTTTTAATACTCACAAATTCTAAAGAATAAAGTCCAGCAAATATCTCTTGTATTTGTTTTATTATATTATCATCTTTTAAAAATACATTGAGCGCATTAGAATAAGCTAGAGATTGTTGTACCTAAAAGTTGTTTGTTCTTTACACTGTTTAGAAAACAAATTAATATTCTTTATACCTTCTTAGTACCAGCTAGATGATATTGTATTGATGGACATTTTATAGCTTTAGAACGTTCGATTAATAATCTAATTTCCCATTCTTGTTCAGTAGGATAAGCTTCAACTTCATAACCAGAACGAAAATAAACTACAGAAACTTCTAACTCTCCACTGAAAACAAAGGATAATTTTTCAATAATTTTTTATTTAGATATAGACTTAGATAGTAAGCTCAATAATACATAAACAATTGTTAATTACTTATTTATAAATAATATGTTTATAACATTTTACATACACTATTAACTGTTTGTTTGGTCCCAGCCTTGCTTCAGATACTAAATCTTTTAAACTTTTTCTTATCACTTTAATATCAGGATTAATTTTAGAAATTTCAAATTCATGAAATCTCTGATCGCATATATTATAAGTGACACTTTCAACAACGAATAATATTACAGCCCTGTAATGAAATATATTAATTATTTGATAGTTTATTATCACTTTTACTTTTTATCATATTATATCAACTACTTACTTTTTATTATCATACAATTTCCATGCATATGTTAGCCCTTTACATAATCCATTAATTGGATTATTTTCTGGAATCTAAACACGAAAATTTAATAAGGAACAAGGAAATTTAAAGAATGTGAAATAATAAATGACTTACATTTTTTATTTTATCTGTGTATCCTAATTCTGATAAGATATATCTAAAAGAGCATATTATGTTTACATAGATAAACTAAATTTACAAATTTTGAGATAAAAACTCACTTGTGATATTGAGAAGTAATTGTAACTATTCCTCCAAAACTACTTGCAATAGTATTTAACTCAACTTGCTTAATCTGATTCGCATGTAACATGTAATCAGATCGAAGTAAACCAAGACTTACTGTCTATAACAGGAAAATAATACAGAGACTTACTTATCATAAATTATTTAAAATAAATGCACATTAATTATATTTATATTATAATTTTGTTTTACTTGATTAAATCCTTCTTTATATACAGTTTCATATATATTAAACAATTTTGCTGTAAATGAATCTGCACCAATTGTACTAAAAGATATAAAACAATATATATAACACATATAAATACAAATATAAATAATATATCATTTTTACATACCTTTTCAAACTTTTTATTAAAAAATCATTATTATGTGCCACTTTATGTATTAATTCATTCAATAATACTTGAATACCTTTGACTTTCTCAAAATGTTTCTTAGGAAAGCTTGATGGTAGTAAAGTAAATGGCAAAACTTGTACCTGATTTTTATTAAAGGATACTTTTGACCGCATACTAATACCTGAACAAAAATAAGTTGAATGTACATTTTTTAAATTTCAATACAATTGTTATATATTTTAATCAATAAACAAGAACGAATAAAATTCAATACCATGCATAAGGGCCCAATCCTTAGCCTTGTCTACAGTATTTTCTAATTCCTCTCTTGAAAGTTTTAATTGAACACAAGGTTCCAAACATGATACTTCCATTATTATACAAATTTAACAAAAATATGAAATTTCAAAATTATTTAAAATCCGTATCAACTACCACTCAATTATGATTTTTAGGTAAATAACTAGCCATCATGGCTATCTTGATCTTATGATTAGACATAACTTTACACAACACAATTGTATACGTATGTGTAAAAATGTGCAATGATAGTGTAAATTCTTATCATTACGTACATAGCGTTTCCAGCTTCAAGTTTTAACGTATCATTATTTTCGAGAAACAACTTCGATACATTATTTTAGAAGAATAATTTCATTTAGCAATGAAATACATTATAAATTTTAACTTCTTTCACATATCGTGAAAAAGTTTCACACAAATGTGTCTATTTTGAAAAAAAAGTTTCAAACAAATGTGTCTATTTTGAAAAAAAAGTTTCAAACAAATGTATCTATTTTGAAAAAAAAGTTTCAAACAAATGTGTCTATTTTGAACTACATATTTTGAAATGATATATATATATACATATATATATATACATACATATACATACATACACACATACATATATTATTACATAATCAATAATATTTGTTATTTAGTTGATATTATATGCGCTAAACAAGTTCGTTTGTGTATTTTATAAAATTACTAATAAAAGAAAGATATATGCATGTGTGTGGGTATTAAACTGTTTATTACCATTGGGTTAATAGCTATATATAGAATGAAAGTAATTTCTTTTTTACATAAATCATTTTATTGTCATTTTTGTAATTAATAATTAACTTATAGATACTTTAAAGTTATAGCAAAAGTTATAATAGTAACATACATCAGCAATATATATGCCTACGTAAACACATCATAAACGTACGTGCGTATTTAGTTTATTATTTACTGCGTAAATAATATTTGATTCAGAAAGTGAGACGTTAAAACGTTATTTTTTTTAACTCAATTTGATTTAATTTTATACAAGTTGAATACATACGTATACGTTTCTATGCATCAAAAGTGTTTCATATTTTTGCATAATATACTTTTACACAAATAAATATACAAAATATATTATTTCCTCATATATTTTAGATATACATTAATAATAACAATTTCTTTTGTCCAGTTATACAAATATGCTATATATATATGCACTTGAGGTACATATAGTATCAATTCTAAAATAACAATGAATCTTTAAAATTTTGTATTCTATGACCGACGCTTGCGCTGTACTGTTCTCTATGTGAAAGCACAGTTCTTTCACTCGTAAACCTCTGCTTTGCACTATTGTGTATTTTCAAAGCAGTGTGTTGAAATATTTATACCTTGTGTGAAAATACATTTCAAATATTAAGTGTGGAAATTAGTCATACGGTACCGATTGTTAACATTAATTTTGTAGAAGAAATATCAGGATAGTTTTATTTGCATTGCTGCTTCATGTTCCATCATGAGTGACTATTCAGCGGTTGCTCCGCCTCAAAATTTTAGTCAAAGTTCTGCGTTTGCGGCAGCTTTGCAACGTGCAAAACAAGTAAGTGAGTCCGTTAATTTTAAACGTGATTCAGGTTATGATTGGATCGTATTTCTAAAAGTGGGCCATATAGCGTTTCATGTCTTTGTTAAAACCATACATCGACTTTAGTCATCAACAAACAAAAAGGTCGCAAAGACATTAAGTAATCAGATTTGCTTCGGTTAATAACGTTATATTTTAGCATTCTATTTGAAAATTACTTAGGTAGAAATTTTACTTGGATAGTATTCGTAACGTTGATGAATCTTAATTTACAATTAATTTGTTCTTAAGTCTTAATTTATTTGTCTATCTTTAAATTATATCTTTAAATTATATTATTTATGCACACAGTGCACAATACATAAATTATATATTTTTAATTAGTATTAAAATAAACTTTGATTGTAAGGCTATCTTGTAATTACTAGTTTAAGTCATTTATTTTAGTTGTTGCAATAAACACACTTGTTATTAAACTGTGGATAATTTAAATGTGCTTGTATGTTTTAGATAGCTGCAAAGATTAATCCAGCTGGTGCACAAAATAATCAGGATTCTAAGTTAAAACGTCCTCTTGAAGATGGGTCAGGTAATGTCATATATACATGTATAAAGAATTTATTGCAAAACGTATTAACCCTTTGTCTACTATTTTATTTTTACTGATGATTTGGTTATATCCATGTAGTTTCTTTTTTTACATTTTTGTATCTTAAAAATCTCAAAAAATTCTTCAACATTTTTTTAAATTTCTAGAACATCATTCAATAATTTTCATTGCTACGTGTTATTTTAACTTTTTGGAACAAAGCAAAGTTTAATCAAAAATATGAAGAAAATAAAAAATTATTTGAAAATCTATGACTAATTACTGAAGAAATATTTGGATCTGTGCCTTTAGATTTATATATTACTAATCATGACCTTAAAAAGAAAATTGCTATTAAAAAAGTGTAACTGCAAAATGTATAATAAATAGAAACGAAATTCTGATTTATCATATATAAATTATTTAATAGAAGAAACAAACGTTTTTCATACGTTTCTTTTCATCATTTCAAAAATGCCGATCCAATAATTGAATAACTATTTTTGCAGCATATAAATACTTAAATAATAATCAAAAAATTAAGACAATACTATATAGTATTAAAATACTGAAGCAGTATTTAAAATAGTATAATAAAATATAATAAAACTTTGATATTAGATATCAATATAAATACAAAAAATAAATTTTATATTTTTGAAATGGATTCATGATTTCAGAACCTGAAGCAAAAAAGATGGCATCATTGGTATCAGACCCACTAATGGGACTTCGTGGCTCAGCAGGAAGTAATGTATTAGGAGAGTCGATTAATCCAACAGGACGAACAGGACAAACAGGATCTTCAGCAGGACCAATTGGAAATGTAGGAGGTATTTGTAATGAAGATATCAGAGTTCCAGATAACATGGTCGGTCTGAGTAAGTAAATAGTATTCCAAATGATAAAATAAATGATCAACGTTTGATCAAAATTGTTTTAAGAACTAAAATAGGTTATACAAATATAGATTCAGCAACTTTTTCTTCCTGAAATATAAGTCAGAAATAAATAACTTAGCAATTTTCTTTAAAATATCATAATAAAGATTACATAAACTATGTAATTTGCATATTTGACATAACTCTAATATTGTAAGAATATCTTGCAATATAGCAATACTACTAATAATTAAAAAATATTCAAAAATTATTGCTACGTATGATAAATCTTAATATACAAATACTAATACAGAGTATGTATTTTTATGAAAAGAAATCATTTTCAATAATTTTTTTCAATATATGTAATATGTAAACAATTCAATATATGTAATAGATAAACAGACATTTATAATTTAGAAAGGAAGATTTTCTAGATCTGCCTTTATATAATCAATTATCAACATACATAAAGATATTTTTATATTATTTTAGATATTCTCAATACTTATGTATTAAATTGAAATAATACTTAGTTTAATTTACAGTTAGCATCATAATATATTTCAATTTTTTTTTCTATAAATTTTGTAACGATTATAATAAAATAATAAAATGATGACACGATTATAATAAAAATATTTATTAATGAGAATATAATATTAATGAGAACAAATTTAATATAGTTTATACTTATTTAACTTAGTAATTAAATTACCACAGCAATTTCAAATGAATCATCATAATTAATAATAATATCTTTGCAGTAATTGGCAGAGGTGGAGAACAAATAACAAGATTGCAGAGTGAAACAGGATGTAAAATACAAATGGCACCAGAAAGTGGTGGGCTACCTGAACGTCTTTGCACATTAACTGGCTCACGAGAAGCTGTCAAGTAACTTGTTTTTCCCTTCTTATTTTGTTAATTTTAACTATTTTGTATGCAATGCAATTTCCACTTTATAAAGTTTTGCCTAGAACAAAGGATTACTTCGTGGTGTTATGTTAAGTGACACATATTGATCACACTCATAATGCAAAATATATATTTTACATCTGTACATATACTTATGTATATATACATACTTATGTATATATACATACAGTTATATATATATATGTATATGTATATATAATACATGTATATATATATAGAAATGGAGAGGGAGAAAGAATTATATGTGCATATATCAAAATATGTATTTACATATATGTATGTACATCTTATAAACACATATACAGGAAAACAAACCTGCTATCCTCCTTATATTTGATATACGAAATTCATTAGGTTATTATTTATTTAAATAACAAATTATCCACCTAGTTCCACTGTAAAATCTCCTAGAAACACCTGAAAGTATCAACTATTTGACAAAATGGTTTTAAAATCTATATTGTGGTGTTGTAATACATATAATTATGCTTTATATACACTGACTGTATCCATTAGAAAATGTGCTTTAAGCACAGATAGTACTGGTGAAATATAGTTTGCGTGTGTTTAGTACTCCATATGCTATCTCTTCATGTTAACATGCATTTCTTAAATGTAGGTTACATGCTTTCGCATATTGAAATTGTCAAATGTTTTACAGAATCTTTACTTAGCTCCTGGATGCGAATAGCGGGCTCATACTTGACTTTACATACGCTTCAGAATATTTTCTTATTGAGAATTTATCAATAAGTTGTGGCTTTTAATTTAATAATTTTGTACTTACTAATAGTTTTTTGCTTTCAATAGGATATGGAGAGAAAGAAGGAAGAAAGGAGGATAGGATATGCATGGGGACGTGTTATTCGCAACAAGAAGAAAAATTGAATTTTTATTTATTTAAATCTGCTTATAATTAAGCCAACGACATTTTAACATGAAATTTAATTTTATTATACACTTAAGAAATAACTCTTTGTCAAACAAAATGTTAATGTGACATTCATGACTTATATCTTGGCACACAGTAGACATCACATCATGTGTTGCAAACAAATTACATTACTGTACATTAATAGTATTATATTTTAACTTAATATTATTCAAAATTACATTGCACATTTAAATTGTGTGTGTTTCAGTCGAGCTAAAGAATTGGTATTATCAATTGTAAATCAAAGAAGTAGAACTGAAGGAATTGGTGATATGAGTGGAAATAGTGGAGGAATGATGGGTCATCCAGGATTTGTTGAAATAATGATTCCTGGACCAAAAGTTGGTCTAATTATTGGGAAAGGTGGAGAAACGATTAAACAGTTGCAAGAAAAATCCGGAGCAAAAATGGTTGTTATCCAAGAAGGTCCTTCTCAAGAACAAGAAAAACCTTTAAGGTAGTAGAATTGTAATAATATTACAATTTATTTTTATTTTTCTATTTGTCGTTTTTATATAAAAAAAAAAGTATTGTTAAAATACAAACAACTTTAAGAGATAATAACTATAAATTA